TTTTAAAGGGCATTAGTGCAAAAATGAACGTAACTGTATAGTACATATCAAGATGAGTTTTTCTAACCATTTCACTTCAATCACGGTGGAGTAATGGATAGCGACTCGGGTTGAGGAATCGGAGAGCCAAGTTCGAATTCCAGTCGAATCCATTACATTCATTTACGTGCTAATAATACCCTTGGGAAAGGTATGAATCCTTCTCTTCTCCCCCCCAGTTATGGGTAAATAGCAGGACAGACTGCGTTCTGTAGCCTTGGATGGCAACTGGTCTACCGCAGAAAGAAATGGCAACCTACTGCGGGGAAAAAAATCTGCCTCGTCAGTCATGTATCGAAAGATACATGATCGCCTCCTACGCGTGTATCACGCATGGTACATAATTGACTGACTGATACATTTCAGATATTTTGAATGTTAATACAAAAGAAACATCCCGCATTAGCTAAAAAGGCTTTAACAGGGTTTTAAAAGGCTTTTATTGTAATTTTCTACTTCTACTACTAAAGAACAGAAGGAGGCACGGTGGAGTAATGGATAGTAGCTCGGATTGAGAAATCGGAGAGCCGAGTTCGAATTCCACTCAGATCCATTACATTCTCTTACGTGCTAATACCCTTGGGAATGATATGAATTCACCCTCCCCCAACTATGGGTAAATAGCAGGACAGACCAGGTTCTATAGACTTGGATGGCAACTGGTTTACAGCAAAAAGAAATGGCAACCTACTGCGGGGAAAAATCTGCTTCGTCAGTCATGTATCACGCATGGCACATAACTGGCTGACTGACACCTCAAGCAAGGCGATAATGTCTCTAAGACGCAAGAAATTACTGGGAGTGGAAGAACATGAAGAACAAAGACTTTAGTGAGGAGAAAGGACAATAAAAGAACAGGTTTCAGGAGGACAGAAGATGTCAATTGACGTTGCATTTAAATTTTTGAAGATTGTAGGCCGCATGGAAGCAAGAAATCGGAAGGAGTGAGAAGTACAAGAAAAGAACCTATTTGAACAGAACTTACGTCTACATCTATAGCTATTTCAACGGTACAAACGATGAGGCCAAGTAGCCAAGGATTTATTCTACTGTAGTTGTATTAACAGTAGCTACGAGAGGTGGGCAAACTTTTTTTTTATCAAGGAGGGCCGTATCATTGTCAGCCCTCTGTTAAGTGGGCTAAGTTACATTACCAACGAATACCAACATAAGTTTCACAACAACGACAGTGTAAATAACGACCATGCATACACACCGTATTTATATATTTATTTGATTCGTAGACATTTTTTTGGTGAATAGGCTATAGAAATATGAGAAATTAGTTTCATAATTAATCATATTTATTACTATTAATGAGATTTGTGCTGTTTAGACAGCTTTTCAGAATCAGGATTCATTTTACTTGCTGATGTACAAGATTGAATATTTAATCTTTTCACTTTGATTTTGTTAATGAAAATAAAATAAATATTAAATATATGTGCTTTCTATGTTTTTTTTTCTTTAATTTTTCTGATAGCTATTTTACGCAACATGTCACAAAAACAAAAGTTAATAAGTTACCCACATTTTTTTTTAATAGACTTTTAAAAAATAATGTTTGTCGCGCTCTTGCGAGTCGCATAAAATCACACTTGTCGCATACGACTGAGGGATTGCACTTTGCCCAGTCATGTTTTAGAGGAAATTGGAATTTATTGAAATCGTAAAGTGATTATGAAAAAGGTATTCAAGAAAAAAAAAACATTATTTGAATAAAATGCAGTGGACAAAATAAGAGAACATTTTTTTTTCTTTTGCAACGTCCTCGAAATATCTCACAGCCAATATTGTCCTCAATAAACGCAAATGCAATGTTCTCAGTGTTACATCAGCTGTCATACCGGACATGCCAAAAGATGTCACAGTGATTGTTAAGGTGAAGATTAATAGCATGTCTGTCTGTAGTTTCAAAGGAACTATGCCCGGTCTAAAAGTGTCACCTGGAAAGTTTGGGAATCATGTGACAGAATACAGTTTTTCGTTGACCACGCAAGGAAAGCTTTAGAGAGGACTGACTAAAAAAAATCATGTATGATCCCTTCAACACTGTAGCAGGGATTTTAAGGCAAATCAAAATTCCGGCCAAAATTATAGAGCGATTTCGGGATGATGTCTCATAGTGAAATAAAAAAAGTTTTTTTCCAACTTATTCGTTTTTTGTTAAAGATGTTTTCTTCGACTTATTTGAAATTTTGTAATCAGTTATATCAAAATTACTAAAAGTAATAATACCCAACTTAACAAAAGATGGTAGCACTTGTTAGGGTTCCAGCTACGGGCAAATAGTGAACCTCCAAACAAAGATCAAAATACTAGGAATATATAAAAATAAATTTTATAGTGAAAACACCAGCAATATATTTTTTACAAAATTTACCAAAATATATTGTAGGGAAATTACCACCATATTTTTTTATTAAAAAAAAATATATTAGCAACAATAGATTTTTATAGAAAAATGGTCAACAACATATTTTTATAGCAAAATGACCATCGCTACAATACTAAAAAGTATAAAAATACATTTTTGTAATACAGTTATCAGCAATGCACTTTTATAAATCTAAAAACGGTTCACTTTCAAACTAACATCTTCTCTCTGTCACGACTTGAAGTAGAACACAAATCGTTTAGCCTCAATGATTACACGCAAATCATGGAAGTCTATTTGTATTTCAAATGTCGGTTCGCAACTTACAATCAGCAAGTATATTCTGATGATATTTAATATGTACTATGGCAGAAATGTATACCGTAAGTACTGACAGGTATTGTTGTAGGCGATCCGATTTTGTTGGATTTCAAACGTGAAAAGTGTCATATAGTATTTTATGTATGTAAAATCACATGGCGAGTTTGAATGAGTTGGCAAAAATGAAGCACTGCTAGCACCTTTCTGTCGAAAGTTGATTACTTTGTCAGAGTTTATGGAAAATAAATCCAGAGGAATGTCTATCCCATCGCTTCGTGTAATGCTACTGCCAGTGATCAAATAATAATAGTCAGATATTTCAGACTGCGGGTCAGCTTGTGTAGTAACACATTAGAGACTTCATTTCATCTGCCTTTTGAGTAGAAGGAAAAAAAAAGTTCGTTTGCATTCACATCATAACCACGATATTCTAAATTAGAAACTGTGCATTTTGACAAAGAATTTTTCAGATTGCTTCCATGCCGATCTAAGTCATTTGCCTGTTTTGTTTTATTATAACCAATGAAAAATATATAATCGAATTACGCAAATACAGTTTTCATTACCAAATATTAGGCTGTAGTGATACAAACGGTCATTGTCTTCTTTTCGTTGAGATAGTCACGAGGATCATGTGACAACCGGCGAATGATGTCAGGGTATAGAGTGACGAAGGCAGTTGCCCAGAGAAGAAGGACGTCCCTAAACCCACAGCAGTAGGTCTGACAGGAAAAAACCACATGACCTGACCAAGTTCAAAGAGAAACCACCGTCACTACAGTTTTCTTTTCGGGAAATATTACAAGTACGGTTCTCTTTTACACACCGTTTGTTGTTGCATATATGTTATAATTTCTTTTCGTGTATATATATTTAACTTTGTGTACGACGTAGCTCTCCGAGAACTAAGAATGTTTGTCATTCTTTTTCTATTCCGTGAAGTACAGTGTTGTTATATCACGGATATAATAACGACTGTAACAGGAGTAATTCAAATGGGCGAATAAACCTTTTTTTCCATAGAAACCTCATGTTATAAGGCTATCTGGAAACTACTTAAATATTACACTGCTATGAATTATAAGTAAAAAAAAAAACAAACAAAAAACACAAAAAAAAAAAAAACAAAAAACAAAGGCAGAACCAAGGTTGAATGGTAAGGAAACTGTATCTTGAATTAATTCCTCATCTCTTCTATTACGATGTTCGGAAAGTAATCACGTGTATCACCGCTATGAAGTATGAGTCAACCATCAAAGGCAGAACGGTAACTGAATGGTAAGAACCTGCGACTAGAATAAGTTTATCATCAGTTCTATTCGACATATATCGATTATAAAGCATTTGAAATAAGAAAACTTGCAAAGAGGGAAGTTGTTTCCCTCATCCGCTTATGAGAACCGAAAAACAACTTTCGACTATAGTTACAGGTGATGAAAAATGGGTTTTGTGTATATTATATACCGTACCTATGAACATTAATGGGTATGTCCCAATCCTCATAAATACGTTGGACACTATTGTAAGTGGGGGATTTATGCTGCCTAAGCTGGCAGCGTGAGCTGTCAGCGTGAGAAGCTATTGCTGTGTCGAACTCTCTGGCTTTGAGCAGAGAGGAACCCGGACGAATCTATACCGAAGTGCAGAGTCTCGTCCGGGGAGGTAGACAGATATCCAATCCCGCGTATGCGGGGTCTACGGGCAATTTTTGCCCGAGCTGTCAGATTTCACTACATTAAATTCCGAGCTGTCGGATTTGTTTTAAATTTGGCCTTGTGCTGCATCCTACCTCGTGGGGAGGCAGGTAGATATCGTAATATGCTGTCTAAGTAGTCCACCATTAGCAGTGGCTTACCCACTTCACGCCGCTGGCGAGTATTGTATTTTGTTGATAATATAAAGATTACCTTTTCATTTCCAACCTTCCTCTTTTGTTATTTATCATTCAGTAACCCTTCCTAGGTTACAACAGTATATCAACAGAAAAAAAGACTGGTTATCACAAAATGAAAAATCAGTATCCTCACTGAAATCAGGACTTCATTGATAGAAGTGCTATGCGTCTGATGGAATATGATAGGTCCGTGTAGTGGAACATACAAGTTCCACTAATTAACCCATAACTGGGGGTAGAAGAGGTGGCTTCATACCTTTCCCTAGGTTATTTGCACGTAAGTAAATATAAGGAACCTGACTGGAATTGGAAATCAGCCTTCTGATTTCCAGTTTCAAGCTGGTATAATGGACCACCCGCACATTCGAGCTTACAGCACCTAGTATTCCAAATTGGTCATCCATCTAGGTACTGACCAAGCCCGATGTTGCTTAACTTCGATGATCGTACGACAACCGGCGTTTCAACGTGATATGGCCGTAAACCCCTTTCTGTATTTTTGACTATATTGTAAGCATTACGGTGCATATATTTTCTTTTTTTTTTTTTTTTTTTTTTTTTTTTTTTACAGTGAAAGCTGTGAAATTTCTATTCGATAAAGACATCTGTTATTTTGTCGCATTGCTTTGCGGCCAGGTCTTTTTGTGAAATAATATCTGTTGTTATATTCGAGGGTAATTGTTACAGAAATTTATGTTCTATTTCTTCACTGACCCCAATACAATGCCGATGAAATAATAAGCGTCCTATATTTTTGCATGTCAATGTTTTCACAATTGAATTTTTAATAACAAGCCAGTGTTTGACACGCTTGAAAGATTATATTTATATTTACATGATAAATATGCCACGTGAAGTTCAGCTTGTAATATGTTTTCCTGAGAAATATCTACAGTAACTTATTTAGAGGTGTGAGGTTTTATTATTCAAATCGAGAAATATTTATTGTAATGACAAAAGTACGCAGGTGTAGGCTTTAAGAAAGCTTTATTCAACTGAGAATAGTGTATAGTGTCCTTTTATAGTCCCAGTAAATAGAAATAGCCCTCTTAAAGAGGATAGTACCAAAAACAGGGGGAGACCACTTTTGATTATTCATAACACTTATCATGTAAATAAACATATATAATAATATAGTTACTGATATTTATTTTTTAATTTCAGATATAAAAAAGTTTGTCATGGGTTGTACAAAAGAATAACAATATATTGTATAGTTATTGGGTGAGGGTAACAAAAAATTGGAAATTGCGAAAAAGTTGAACAAAAATAATAAAACGATGAAAACGAAATTTAGTATATTGTTTAAGTGGGAGCAAGAAAAATGGTTTTAAGAATGTCACAAAAAGCGATCTGAGCAAAATTAAAACGGTAATATGCAAGAAAATCAATTGATAGACAAGAAAATAGTTGAAATTTGGAACACGTAGAGAGAAAAAGATACAGAATATTACGAACGTAGGCGAAAACATTAAAGCAATAAAACTATTAATCTTAAACTAACACAAAAAATAATAAAAAGAAGAGTAACGTGTAATTTGGGCAAAGTACGTGAAAGTTGCTTTCTTGACAATAATCTTTTGTTTATGTTGGAAATTTAGTGATGGGGAATTGTTATTATGGCAAACACAAACAGTAAACAGCAGGGAATCCTAGACAAGGTAGTAAATGGTAGCGGGAAGAAAGGACTAACCGACAATTCCAAGAAAATAGAATATATGGTTATCTGCAAGAGAAACAGCTCAATATGCTAGCTTCGAATTCGTCGTCGTCATCCGTCCTTCTCGAGAGACGATGGAGTAGCGCAGTGCGCTACGAGCCTGAACGAGATATATGGAGAACTAGGGCTGCCCGGACGTTTAGTTCGCCCTTTCAGCCTTGCTAGCAGAGTCCAAGGGAGAGGATAAACCAATACAGTTTGGTACCAGCGCGGCTGCAAGAGTTGCCGGAAGGTAGCACAAAGTGCCGTCCATCCGCCTTAGAGGCTCCACTCCGGGTTTGAATTCAGAGTTGTCCTTCTCCTAGACCAGTTGCCATCCAAGGCTATAGAACCCAGTATGTCCTGCTATTTACCCATAGCTGGAGGGAGAAGAGGAGGATTCACACCTTTCCCAAGAGTATTAGCACGTAAGTGAATGTAATGGATTCGACTGGAATTCGAACTCGGCTCTCCGATTCCTCAATTCAAGCCGCTATCCATTACTCCACCGTGCCTCCTAAGCTTCGAATTAGAGATGTGAAAATCAAATTATTTTTTTTTTACAATGATATTCACCCAAGAACCACTCGAGGCAGAGAGTTAAAGAGTAAGAGACACCATCTAAGCAAAGAGATAATTCCAGCATGACAAAAGGGGCCACAGGTAGTGAATGGCAAGGAAAAGGCTTTAGAAGGGACTGGAAACGCATAACAGGCAACAAGGGATAAATTCCTACTCCCATAAAAAGACCGTATGGCGTATCCACTGGACAATAGTGAAATCTATCTATTTCTATTGAGAAAAGAAAAATTAATTCAATATTAAATAAAAGTTTAGAGTTTTAGGTGGAGGCGTTAGAAGTGTAAAGTTAAAGTACAGTTCAGAAGGAACCGGAAACCCAATCCTAAACAGGAAACAAGTAATAACCTCTGCTCAAAAAACCGGTAAGTAGGTGAACCGGCCGATAGGCGAACCTACTGAGGAAAAAAGTAAATCAAGAGTAAATAAAATTTCCAAGTTTTAGGTGGAGACGTTAAAATATAGTTGAAATAGACTTAAGAAAGAACCGGAAACCTGATTCTAAACAGAAAACAAGGGTTAAGCCTCTACCGAAGTTTAAATATCTGCGAGATCTGCCTAAACAGATGACGGATAATGTAACACCGAAACCCGAATGTACATTGAAATAGAAAATAAATATTCCAAAAACTAAACCAAGTATTAAAAAACAGATAAATTTCAATACGTGCAAAGAAAAGAATGATGAATTGTCAAGTAATATCAATCCTCCGCCATGACAGTGAGTGTTGGTCAGTTTCCTCACAAATGAAAAGGGGACTTGAAACAATAGAGATATGGTTCTATAGAAGAATACTGAGAATAACATGGACGCAGCATTTATACCACGAGGAAGTTTGAAGGAAAATAGAAAGAAAGAGGTAATTTATACTTAGAATCGAAAAGACAATTGAATTTTCTAGGATACATATTGAGGAAAGAAAGCTTGGAAAATTTAACACTTACAGGAAATATTGAAAGTAAGAGGGGCAAAGGTAAGCAGTGAATAACAAGCTTGTGCAAATAGGCACAGAAACGAGAGTAGGAGGGTTAGTAGATATGAACATTGCTAAGAGTTACAAAGGATGGGAAGTTGTGAAGAGCCATGATAGCTCATCATGATAGTCCACACACTGAAAGGATACGGCAAATAGGAGAACACATTTTAACCATTGTAGCTTCTAGCCTCCTTTTATTTGCATACTATCTAAAATAAGTTGGTGAATATCTGCATTATTGTAAAAATATTCGACTATCGTCCGGTTCACACTTCTCCCCCGTCTTTCGAACAAATGTAGACGTTTATTCCTTGTTTCTCGTTTAGGATAGGGTTTCCGGGTCCTTCTAAATAATGTCTAAATCAACTCTATACATAACGCCTTTGCCTAAACTCTGAAATTTGATTTACTATTCATTCACATTTTTCCCCAACAGGAGTATATAGGTTCGCCTTTCGTCCGGTTTGCACTCCTCCCCGGTCTTTTGAACAGTAGTAGAAGTTTATCCCTTTTTTCGTGTTTAGCATAGGGTTTCTGATTCCTTCGAAAGTCTACTTCAACCCTGTACTCCTAACATCTCCGCCTAAACTGTGAACTTTTACACTATTTATTATTTATTTTTATTTATTTATTTTTTCTCAACCGGAGTAGATAGGTTCGCCTATCGTCCGGTTTACACTCCTCCATGGTATTTTGAACATGAGTAGAGATTTATCTTTTGTTTTCCATTTAGGATTTGGTCCGGTTCCTTCTATAGTCTACTTCAACTCTATACTTCTAACGACTCCGCTTATTACATAATAAAATCGTATGTAATATGTTGCAATGCTGATAGGCAAGAAAGTAGTAGATGCTTTATATTAAAATGACGCACTCACATTTCTGTATTATTTTAAATATTATATTTAGTGCGTACATATGTTTGGGTAGATATCCCTGATTTTAAACATCTTAAATTTACACCTACCTGCCTGTGCATTCAAGAGTATTTATAGAGGGCAACGGAACATTCCTTAAAAGAGTCACCGGCCCTCGTGAAATGAGCGATCTAAAGCACAACTGGAAAGATTGTTGTTTGCCCCGATAATGACCATGCAGTTTCGAACCTTGCCAGAAAGTACTTTTTCTTTATTAAGACTCTCGAATGCACAGGACGGTAGGTGTAAATTTACACTCTTTAAAAGAAATAAAGATTTTTTTTCAGATACAGTGGAAGCGTGTTGAGCTCATAATCTGTCAAATAATTGATCATAATTACATTTAATTGACAGAAATGGCCAACAAACAGAATTGACAAAGTTTTCGATTAACAAAAACAAAAGAAAGAAAAAGACAGGGTAAAAATTAATACGTAGCCATATATATATATATATATATATATATATATAAACGAGACAAATGTAGGCAAAGCAACAGTAATAAAGCAAGAATTAAGAATGGTGTTAACACGCAAAAGAGTTACAGACAAGTGATCGCAGCGTTCTGACTTCAAGACAAGAAAGAACAGAAAAATGGCGGATGAGAACGGGACGTGGACTATCAATCATATCGACTAAGCATTTTCAGCATGCATCTGTATGTTATGTCTATAAATTTGGGGACGGGTGTGTTTTGCTGTCATTTCTGATTGGACTGGATTCAGCAACTAAATATAGCGTTTAATGTCGGATTATAAATAAAAGCTACCAATTCCTTAGAAATTACGTACTCGCATATTTGTAAAAGATAGAAAGAGAACGTGAAACAATTTATTTGTGCCATTCGTTGCAGAATAAGTTTCTTAAAACTTAGTTTAATATATGAAAAGCGATCTCATAAAAGGCAATATAAACCTTAAGGTGGCCAACCAAATCGTAAGCGTTTTACTAAATCAGAGCGTTTTACTAAGCATAGTTTAGTAGCTTGTACTTAGCGTAGCTTAGATATGAACTGCTTAACTCGTACAGACCTCCGGCGAACTGTTGCAAACTCGTAGCACACACACATTACCCGACCGACCTACGAGATAAAACTCACTAGCATTCATGCAATTAACACAAACTCTTATAAAGTCGTTATGCTGACAAATAAAAAGGTAAATACACACATTCCTTCTTTTTTTTTTTTAACTCTGTCTTTATGTTGTCTTTATCTTTGTTGTTATTTCTCAGCTCAACATTGGCGGCCTCAAAACTTCGGCATTGGTAACAAAGCTTATCTCGGACAGAAATAGACAACCACGAGTCCTA